ATGATTGCTTGCTTCTATATATTCCAGTTTTAACATCCTATGGATTCTTTCATAGCCATTTAAAATTATCTCCCATCTCCAACACTGTTTCTAAGCAACAGAAGAGTACTTCCCCGGACTCCTTGCCTGACCTCTTCCGCCCACAGGGATGTTTCTCACTGAGCTGCAGCATTATATTATCTGCAATGCACATTTATTTATTAGCTGATGATACATCTCAGGTTCTTGTTTAGCTTTTCATCTGTGGAGGTTGCATCCTTACAATTAGAGTATAAGCTTCCCAAGCCAGATATTATATAAAATGTGCTCAGTAAATATATGTTAAATAAATAAATATTGTATCAAGAAATAGCCATAAATAAACCTAAAGGGAATTCTGGGCTTATGGGAAGTAGAAAAATCAAGGGTGAACTCCAAGTTTGTGGTTTGGGACCCTTGATGCCGGATGATGCTGTTCTTCAAACCAGGGGATCCTGCGGGTGAGAACGTTTGGGAACAAGGGAAAGAGAAGGTGAATTTAGGATGAGACATGAGGTCCCAGACAAAGGGACATATTTTACTGTGTTTAGCCTAAAGCTCCCCAAATAATTGAATATGGTTTGGGAAACGCTGATATAACAGAAGAAGAGAAGCAGGGCGAGGAAGGAAGCCTGCAGAACAACTAACGTTTAAGAAAGGGCCCAAGCCGAAACCGGTTTGGCTCAGTGGATAGAGCGTCGGCCTGCGGACTAAGGGGTCCCGGGTTCGATTCCGGTCAAGGGCATGTACCTGGGTTGCGGGCACATCCCCAGTGGGAGATGTGCAGGAGGCGGCTGATCGATGTTTCTCTCTCATCGATGTTTCTAACTCTCTATCTCTCTCCCTTCCTCTCTGTAAAAAATCAATAAAATATATATATATATAAAAAAAGAAAGGGCCCAAGGAATTGGAAAAGGAGCATGCAGAGAGGAAGAGGAGGCTTCCATCCTGAGCTTTAATCCTGGCTCCGTCATTCCACCAAAAGGTCTGTCTCCTGCCATGGAACAGGGTGCCTGAGGGCCCTTCTCTTGAATGTGCAGAGTGCTTTGGGAGAAAGGTACTCTCAAGCGCTTCCAGATTCAAGCCTCTCACCACCCTCTCTTCTCAAAGAATTCACCCCTTTTGCCAAAAGGAAGCTCATGCTAACTCTTACATTCAAGCACCCAAGAATACCTAATATCCAATCTTGTAACTATAATGAGTTGTTTTAAATTAGGTCTGATATAGGCAAAGACAATACAAAACCCTCACAGTGTAGAAAAATAAAAGTTACCTCACTCACTCCCCATCACCTGTAACTCTTCTCAAACTTCCCTTTAATATTTCATTTCATCTCAACAGCATCTGTTTTAAAAAGTTCCCTATTTGTGTATGGAAAGCTGAGAAAAGGTGAAAACGATGAGCAAGGGAAAATGCAGAGATAATTTCCGTAGTGTTCATGCTGGTGGGGGTGTACATTGGGGCAGCCACTTTGAAAAGAAGCTTAGCAGTTCCTCAAAACATTACACATATAATTCCCTCCAAGACCCAGTAAGGGATATGGGGCTCCCTTTTGGGGTGATGAAATGTCCTAAAATTAAATAGTGGTGACAGAGCATACTGAATCATACACTTTATTTATTATTATTTTTTAAATCCTCACCTGAGGATATATTTTTTATTGATTTTCAGAGAGAGGAGAAGAGAGAAAGAGAGGGAGAAAGAGAGAGAGAGAGAGAGAGAGAGAGAGAGAGAGAGAGAGAGAGAGGTTAAGAGAAACATCAATCGGGACTAAACCCAAAACCTAATTTTGTGCCCTGACCGGGAATCGAACCCAAAGTCTTTTGGTGTATTGGACGACATTCCAAGCAACTGAGCCACTGGCCAGGGCTGAATCATACATTCTAAAAGGGTGAATTTTGTGATATGTGAACAATGTCTTAATAAAGCTATTATCTTTTTATTTTATTTTTTAAAAAAATATTTTTATTGATTTCAGAGAAGAAGGGAGAGGGAGAGAGAGATGTAAACACAAATGATGAGAGAGAATCATGGATCACCTGCCTCCTGCACGCCCCACACTGGGGATCAAGCCTGCAACCCAGGCATGTGCCCTGACTGGGAATCAAACTGTAACCTCCTGGTTCATAGGTCAATGCTCAACCACTGAGCCACACCAGCCAGGCAGTTGTTATTTTTTTAAATGCAAGGAGGATGAATACTTTCAAGATAAAATTTTCTTCAAATAGTAAAATGTCAGCAATTTTTTGTCTGCTCCTTCTATCTTCAATGCTTTATTTACCCATACAGCTGTGTGGCAGCTGTGTGGCAGCTGTGTGGCAGCTGTGTGGCAGCTGTGTGGCTGCTCTTATTCCCCACTTATTTTTTTTTAAAATATATTTTATTGATTTTTTTAAAGAGAGGAAGGGAGAGAGAGATAGAGAGTTAGAAACATCGATGAGAGAGAAACATCGATCAGCTGCCTCCTTCACATCTCCTACTGGGGATGTGCCCGCAACCCAGGTACATGCCCTTGACCGGAATCGAACCTGGGACCTTTCAGTCCACAAGCCGATGCTCCATCCACTGAGCCAAACCGGTTTCGGCCCCACTTATTTTTTTCAGAATAATTTTAGGTAGTAACATTAATATATCTTTAATCAAGATTTCTTTTTCTACTTGAAGCACAAATAGCATTCAACTCTTGGTTTCTGACATATTTGTACCCATGTGGAGCTTTATTTTGACGTGTCTACCACATCCAACATGTTTGTTTACATAGTGTCTGTCCATTTGTTAGATCACTTTTCCAAAAGCCAGGCTTATTGAGGTATAATTTACATCCAGTCACATTCACCCTTGGAAGGTTTCCAACTCTATGAATTCTGATGAAAGTTTGCAGTGACGTATCCTCTAGCACGCTTGAGACACCGACTATTCCCATCACCCTAAACCTGTGGTCGGCAAACCGCGGCTCGCGAGCCACATGCGGCTCTTTGTTCCCTTGAGTTTGGCTCTTCCACAAAATACCATGTGCGGGTGCACCCGTACAGTGTGATTGAAACTTCGTGGCCCATGTGCAGAAGTCGGTATTTTGTGGAAGAGCAGGTATTTTGTGGAAGAGCCACTCTCAAGGGGCCAAAGAGCCGCATGTGGCTCACGAGCCGCAGTTTGCTGAGCTGCAGTTTGCCAGCGCTGCCCTAAACTGTTCCCTCTCCCCACATCCAGGTCCTGCACCCTGATCTGATTTCCACCCGTCGGGTACTCTTCAATTTCTATTTTGTGTTATTCTGAGATAAATCTACCAGGCAGGATCTGGCTTTGTATCCCTATGGCGCCCAATGTGGTGCTGGTCTTCTAAAAGTTGCTCCATAAGTAGATGCTGAATAAATGAATGCATCCCTTGGTGTTTAGATCCTGTCAAATCATACCAGGGGCTCTGCTCTCTGATTTCCAGGATGTGCCACTTGAAAAGGAACTATTAATGTGGGGAAAGCTTGCTCCCAGAGTTGTAATTTAGACAGTGGTGATTTTCAACTTCAGAGATTTTGCTGAGTATAGTATTTCAAACATTTCCTTAGGCTCAGGATTTACCAGTTTGTTTGCTCAACCAGCATGGGGGCCTCTACCCTCTTAACCTGAATAAACAGATGGAAATGGAATCTGGCCGAAATACAGCTGCTGCTCTCTCCTCCCCCGTCCATTGGCCCACATTCTCACCCAGAGCTCCCCTGTGAGATCCCAGACCCGCTTTATAAACAACTCCAGGGTGGACTCTGCACCTGCTGGAGCTGCAACTTCACCTCTCTCATCGTGGGGTGTGGCCCCGTGAAAACCCACCTGCAGCTGGCTCGTCAGTCCGGTTTAGATACCCTTGGTCCTTCCTGTTTTTATTCCTCTTCTACCTCGATGTGAATCAGAAAGTTGACATTCCCAGAGCAATCATAAGAGGCGGAGACCAGGATTCCCCCTGGCCTGCCTGGCTGCGTAGAACGCCCGATCCTTAAAGAGAATGCCCTTTCTTGAAAAGTGTGCTGCTTTCCTCCCGACTGGCCTCCTCGCTCTGCACAGCGTCCCTATGGGCTTTCGAGGGCTGGCAGTCCCCTGCTGTGTCCTTGGCCCAAACAGCACAGGCTCCACAAAACCTCCCATTTCTCCCTGGGGCGGTTGAGCTTGCCTCCAATATGCAGACTTGATGCTGCATCAAATTGCTTCCAAAGGGAACCCCAGTCCCTCTGTTCCAGGTCCCCCACATTTGCCCTGTGGCTTCCCTGGAACATCTCAGGCGACAATGCCTACTGTGAGCCTGAATCCTGCCCGACCTTTCAAGATGCGAACTCCTGATGCTCGGGTGGGCTTCTGCTACATGCTGCTCAAGAAACAAATCACCAGGAAGTGCTCACTTTGGACACACAGAGTAATTGTGCAGTTCACCCCCCCTGGGCAGATAAACCCTTTCTCACCCGAAGGGAGCAAAGAAATTCCTTGTACAGTAATGACGACAGGTGTGTGTGTGTGTGTGTGTGTGTGTGTGAGAGAGAGAGAGAGAGAGAGAGAGAGAGAGAGAGAGAGAGAGAGAAGAGAAGAGGGTGAGGGAGTGGGGATGCTTCAGAAAGAGAAAAACAAAAGGGACAAAGAAAATAAAAGAGAAATCAAAGTAGAAGAAAGTTTATTTATACATCTTCTACAGGTGTGACCATCAAACTTTTGTCTTATTAGCACCATAGTAAGAAAGGCACGCACACACACACAGATGTATAAAATAAAATAGAAAATAAAACTGCACAGCTAACTATAAGCATGGGAAACTTGTTTCGTGTGTGTGTGTGTGTGTGTGTGTGTGTGTGTGTGTGTGTTGCCCCTCCAGCAGCCCCGAAGCCACCCTCAGTCCCTCCCCAGCCCGCGGCCCGCGGCTGCCTCCCTGCCGGTGGCGGCCCTGCGCGGGGCTGGAGGGCGGGCTGGACTCGGCGGGGGCGGGCGGGTGCGGCCCTGGGTCCCGGCAGCTGTTCCCGCGGGGGAGGTTCACGACAAAGTGCGCGATGGAGCCGAGCTCCCCGCAGCAGCTCCCGCGGCGGCGGTGCGCGATGGAGCCGCGCGCGGAGGACTGCGTGGACGGGGAGGACAGCGTGGACCGGGAGGACTGCGCGGACCGGGAGGACTGCGCGGACCGGGAGGACTGCGCGGACGAGTACAGCGTGGCCGCCTGGTGGGACATGGTGGTGAGGAACGTGCGGTGAGTGCGCGCCTCCGCCGGTCCGCCTGGGAGCGAGCGCAGTGCCGGCGCGGCCGCTCAGGGAGGGGCGGAGAGAGGGTAAGGGGAGGGCGAGGGGAGAGCAAGGCCCTCCTTGCAGGCACTGGGGCTCCTGGGCGGATGGAGGGGACGCTTCAGAGGCCCCAGGGCCCTGTGAACCGGGGCTCTTTGGATGACCCCTATCCTCAGCCTCAGCCCCTACCGTGGTCGAGACTCCTGGGTTTGATTTTCTAAGAATTATCCTTCTGGGCTTCTGAAATAGAGATTCCAGAAAGATGGCTCAGCTTCTTCTCGCTTATCTGCCTTGACCATTATAGTCCACGTGGTACTCTTGGGTGGCATCGTTTTAGGTCAAGGGTCTCCCTGGTAGATGGAAGCGGAGGGGAAGGCTCCCTGGGTGTGAACTCTCTGGCCTGTATTTAAAGAACAAACATCTCCCCACAATGCTGAAGATGAGTAGGACATTGAAACCATAACCTGGCATCACCTGGGCCGCGTTCTTTAAATCTGAAATGCCTGTGTCGATGCGTTTCTATTTTCCTCCTCCCATCAATCCTTGGCTTAAACCAGTGGTTCTCAACCTTGGCTGCACATTAGAATCTCCTGGGAATCTTTTTAAAATCCTGATTTCTGGGCCTCATCCTCCCGAAATTCTGTTTCTTTGTTATGGGGTGGGGCCACAACATTAGTAACAAAGAAGCGGAATTTCCGGAGGATGAGGCCCAGAAATCAGGATTTTAAGAAGATTCCCAGGTGATTTTAATGTGCAGCCAAGGTTGAGAACCACTGGCTTAAACAGTCATCTTAAACCACCTGAATCCACCAGCAGTATATTACCAGCCTTGTTGGCATTGCAGCCAGGTGTTGCTTGGAGACCCAGGAATTCGGGTATCTTGTTTTGTTTTGTTGGTGTGGGAAGTTATTGGCATTTTTGTTTACCATTTTTTAAAAAAAAATATTTGTATTGATTTCAGAGAAGAAGGGAGAGAGAAAATTCAAAGATGAGAGAGAATCATCGATCGGCTGCCTCCTGCACGCCCTATAATGGGGACCGAGTCAGCAACTTGGGCATGTGCCCTGACCAGGAATCAAACCATGACTTCCTGGTTCATAGGTGGACACTCAGCCACTGAGCCATGCTGGCCAGGCTGTTTACTTTTGTTTTTGTTTAATTTTGTTCATTATGAAATATCCAAGACTCACATCGACAAAGAGACTTCACTTTGGAACGTTCAAGCGGTGAAGACAAACACGGATCTTGTCTTCTGTTCCTTCTGTAGCTCAAGGCAGAGAACAGAGAGCAGCACTCCCTGGGCCCAGCAGTGCAGGCCCAGACCCTTGTTTGGGTTTGAACACCAGTCAGAATATTCCAACTGACAGCACTTTCCTTCTTCTTCTTTTTTTGTAAAAATATATTTTTATTGATTTCAGAGAGGAAGGGAGAGGGAGAGCGAAACATCAATGATGAGAGAGAATCATTGATCAGCTGCCTCCTGCATGCCTCCTACTGGGGATCGAGCCTACAACCCGGGCATGTGCCCTTGACCGGAATTGAACCCGGGACCCTTCAGTCTGCAGGCCAACGCTCTATCCATTGAGCCAGACCAGCTAGGGCCTGACAGCACTTTTCAAACTTCGTATTCACGGGCCTCATCTCCAGGATACGGTTCGTTGTTCTGGGAAAACTGGCATTTACTGACTTTCTCCTTAGTGCTTTCTGTAATGCTGATGGCTGATGGGTTAACATTTATTTGGCAGAGAATCAAAGCTGCAGTTCTTGCTTTTAGAGAACAAGTTGCTTTGTTGATAATGGAATGGAGATGGGGAGTTGGGGACCCTCTACAACTTGCCTTACTAATTACTAAAAACTAAATCTCAAGGGATGCTTCCTGAAGGAATAAAATACTAGCAGTGCATTCTTTGTCTCAGCTGAAAATGACTGATCTAACTTGACATGTGCTGAGGCTGAGGCCCAGACCAACACCCAGAATCCTGGGTCGCTCTGGTTTCTCAGAGCCGGTTACTGTAGGTCAGCTCACATCATGAGGGCTTGCTGTGCACCTTTTATTTCAGTTTCAACCTGCTGCTCCACAGATCTTTATGGAGCTCAGCCCTGTCTGGCCAGAGTGGAATGTAAAAGAAGCATTACCAGGCCTGTAATACAAGCAACGTGGTTCTTGACGTCCGGGGCCTGGCATAGAGTTGGGAGGTCAGGGCTAATGATAAAAAAACAATCAGACAACAACTAAGGCTCCAATTGTAATTTGTGGGAGGGGTGAAAAGAGAAGAAAGGTCGCCGTAGGAAGATGTGTTTAGGAGGCTTTGACAAAGAAGGGACACTTGAGTGGATGGGAAGGGAGGGGAAGGTTTGGTAGGGAGGAAAGAAGAGGGGAGGACGTAGATGTCACTTGCTGCTTGGCGATCAGTGCATGTTGGCTGAATGAATGGGCACCGATGGTGGATATGTAGCATGCCTTCATACTTGGAATAGTTGTCTTGCCAACTGTGATTAGATTTGGGCATCCCAAAGCTGGCTGGTAGACACCTCTGAGCATGAAGCATGGATGATTTGCCCTGTAGCAGCGCAGGCCCCACCAGGTTTCTCCTGTAAGGCTCATCCAGTTAGGTCCTGCGGCTCCTGTGGGATGCTGTGCAGTTACAGCTCCCGCTGATCAAAGGGCAGGCGCAGGAGCACAGAGCGTGGAGGTGGCTGTTTGATGTGGCTGCCCATTAGCAGGGAGTGGGCTGACGCTGCATCCTCCGCTCAAATAAGGTCTATCAGCCACGGGTGACTTTTGATCCCTCCTGATCTAGGGGAAGTCAAATTGACAATCCCCTAGTTAAAAGAAGCGCTGTTCCTACTCCAGGGGTCCGGCCACTCTGTTCTTTCTCACAGAAGTGCCTTCAGCTATTTGAGAGAAGGGTCCTGTATGAATTATTCTTTCAAAATAGGAACATGTTTCCTTCTACTGCCTCGGCCTCTCAAGCACCCCGCTACTTTCAAAAGATAACTTAGCAGGAGCCTAACAGGCGGGGTAGCCTGAGTTCAGAGAGCCAGGAGAATGAAAGCTGGGGCTGGCCAGCTGGGAGGAAGCATCAGAATTCCGATTGTGTTCAATTCTGCCCGTTTGGCTTGATCTGTGGCTCAAAGTGACTTCTCTGGGGTTTGATGTCTTATCTTTAAAATCAGAACAATAACGTCCTCTCCTTTCTACCACCTTCATGGAGGCTATTTTAAAATATTATGCAACAGTCATTTTCATTTCTTTCTTGCTGGGTTCATGAGTAGGCAATTGCCTATGTCTGATGTATTTGAAGAGCTATTCATTACCCTTAGCCCACCTATCTTTTCCACTCCCTGCAGAGTTGCTGGAAATCCATCGGAAAATCATTATCGCCTCCCTCCAGGCCTCTTCCAATGGCATATTAGTGCTCTGACTTTTAAGTTATTAACACTGGAGGGAAGTTTTTTAGAGGTCTGCCTTTGATACTTTGGTATCAGAAGGCTCCTGAGAATATAGGTGCAGGAAGTGGGGAGGAAGCGGGGGCAGGAAGGGACCCTGAGAGGGGGCAAACGTGCAGAATGGGAGGAGAGGGTCCTGAAACAGCCTTCTCCAAGAGCTGAGTTTTGCCAGAGACCAGCCTTGTCCCCGGGGCTCATTTTTGCATGCCTGGGCGGCCAGATGAACTCGCCAGGAGTGTGACAACTCACTGGAGGTCATCTCGGAACTCTGGGGTCAGGCAGACCGGGTGCACGTGGCTGTGCCACTCACTGGTTGTGTAACCTCGGGGAGGTTACTTAACTTGTCAGTCTTCTCATTTGCAAGGTACAGGTAATGATAGTTATCTTCTCTCTGCCTCTGGTCTAGGTCAGTGGTCGGCAAACTCATTAGTCAACAGAGCCAAATATCAACAGTACAATGATTGAAATTTCTTTTGAGAGTCAAATTTTTTAAACTTAAACTATATAGGTAGGTACATTGTTATTAACTTAATTAGGGTACTCCTAAGGCTTAGGAAGAGCCACACTCAAGGGGCCAAAGAGCTGCATGTGGCTCGCAGTTTGCCGACCACGGGTAGGGAAAACAATTCATCAAAAGTGCTTTTCAGCACCCCTGACCTCACAGTGTGACTATATGGAGCAGTCTTTACATTGACTGCTCACAGTAGTGAAAGGGATGTGTACAAAAACTGGAAACAGGAGGTGTTGACACTGACCTCCTCTATCCCTTGTTTCTCAAAGGTAAGAGACACGCAACCCTCATGAGAGATGTGGCTAGAGACCGAAGTGACACTAGTCATGCCTCATGGACAAATCATAGTTTGTTGGTTGATGGCTCCCAGTTTAGGTGGCTTGTGACACAGGGAACAGTAGGATAAACAATATGCATGACCCCACTATGTGCTCCCCTGACCAGGCCCCAGCCCTGCTGTAGCTGACCTCACGTCCTCCCCTCTCCCCACCCTGCTCCTCGTGGTCCCTCTCACCAGGGATGTCACATCAGAAGTGGGAGTTTTCTCTTATCGGCTCATTTCTTCCTGAGACCCAGTCAGAAGAGTGATGTTCTGATGATTATTTGCGTAATGCTTTAGCGTAAGAATAATAGCTAACACATACAACACTGAATTATGATATAATTAAAAACCATGGCAACTGTTAAATTGAATCCTGGTTCCTGATGACTTTGGGGTTCTTCTATGGGACTACAGTGAGGGCATAAGCCTGGTGTCCCCTCCTCTCCTGTCCTGTCATTCTTGGGCTTTTTCACAGCTGGTTGGGGCCCTGCCCTATTGATTTCCTCACCTGTTTCTTCTTAGTGCCTGCCCAGTCTTGATCTGCCCTAATTACGTATAGTTCCGTAAATACTTAAATGTCAAGTTACCTGTAATTCCTTGTGTTGGTCTCTGAAATTTGATTTTGACCTTAAGAGAAAAAACATGACTTAGACAAAACCGGGACTGATTTTTTTCAATACCTTGTTTGTTTCATGATATCTTGCAGATCTATTCCACAATGCTGTGAAACACTCGGAAGGAAAATTGCCACTCAGTACAACAGCTTTACTAGTAAACCATTAAAAGAACACATTTTCCCTCCTCTGATGGACATGCTAATTTATTTTAATTTTTGTAAGTATATACCCTTCATGAATTTGCCTATATATTTTTTTCCCAAATAAGGAACTCACTGCCCTTAAAATTGTGGCACAACAAGAAGACACGTCAGTTATAAAATTGTGGTTCAAGTTAAATGGTCTGAAATCAATTTACTATTGGCTTTGGGTTTAGCATAAGTCCTTGCAATCTGTTGGAGATAGAAAACCATGGCCTTGTGGGTAGGGTTCCAATTAAGGAGCTCCGTCTTCAAATCAACTGTTAATGTGAATGTTTTACTGCCTACTGTATTCTCTTTTTCACGTCCTCTTCTTGCCTATATATATATAAAGAGAGAGAGAGAGAGAGAGAGAGAGAGAGAGAGAGAGAGATGCTGATGGCGGGACTCTATTTTCCCATGTCTTTCTGACTGAGTGCTGTGTTAGTCAATGTACTACATAGCCCTTCTAGTACATGGGTAACACTCTCATCTACATGTCCCCAAGTATATGTTTATCCTGGACGTTTCACTTTAAAAAGTAACACTTGACAGTAGCAGAACACTCATTACCTGTTTTAGGTCTCTTACCTTTTTAGATGAATGGTCTCCTTTGCTTTTAGCTTCAGATAAGGATAAGGATTGAATAAATTCCCTACTATGAGCTACCACTCACCGGTGTTATTTTAAAATCTAGCTTTAGAATTTTTTTTTTTTTGGCCAATTCTTCTATAAGCTAGTCCTAGTTTATAAAATAAAATACTTTGCTTCCATAAGAGTAACTACCATAGGAACAAAACTAGGATGTTTTCCTTTTAAACCAAAAGAAGAAAAGCAGTTCTGTCCAAATGGAAATCATGAAAGAGAAAAAAAAAATGAAAAACACACACCAATAAATGGAAAATATGAAATAAGGTGGTTGAAATATATATAAATATAAAATAAATGCAAATGATTTAAGCTCATCAATAAAAAACCTAGAATCTCAGATTGGATTCAGAAAACAAGTTTCAAGGATATATAATCTTCATCAGACACACTTAAAACAAAAGACACAGAAAGATAGAAGAATGAAAAAGGATAGACCAACCAACCATAGGTCAGAATAAAGCTGGGGTAAGTAGCTTAGTAACTGACAAAACAGAATTTATGGTAGCAAAATACCATATTCCTAATACTATACTTTATATACAGGTAAAAGGGAAATTAGAGCAAGAAAACAACTATCATGAACACATATGTACAAAATGCCATGTCATTTCCAAAAAATAGAGGTAAAATATGTTGCTAAGAATTTAGTGTAGTAGCTTGCAACTGAGAAACATGTTACCATGAGACTAATTACTTTTTTTGATTGTGATAAAAAACAAACAAACACACCTTGAATGTGATTCTGGGAGCTGATAATGATTTCTGCCTTCCAGTCAAAGCACCATTTCTTGTGGACTTAAAGAAGCCAGAGTTAAAGATGCCTCACACAGTGAACTTCTATATCAAGGTTGAACCGGGGGTGATTCTGGGAATCTGGTGAGTGCACGGATTGGACCCTGGGTTGCCTATGGACTTGGTTTTCGTGTTACTAGGGGAAGGGTGAGCAGTGCTGTGCTACTTCCGGTGGAGAGATTGGTGTTCTTTGGAGGCACCTGGGAGCTGCTCCATGCGCCTTCCCTTTGTATTGATACTTGACCTGCTTCAATGAGCTTTCCAGGAACTTTACTTTGGAGGGTGACAACTTTTAGGTGTTGTGCTGCTTTGGGTCCTTCACCAGGCCTGGAGGACCTGGCCCTGGCCCTGGCCCCTTCTCCTGACTTGTTCTACACCAACCACTCTTTCCATTGTTCTGCAGACCCACTGGCCTCCTTGCATACCAAGCCACACTCTCTGTCTGCAACAATTCTTTCTATCTCTCTGCTCCTTCTGCTCCTGCCTTCTTCCTAACTAACTGCCTACTCACCCTTTGGGTGTTAGATTGGTAATTTTCAGGGAAGCTTTTCCTCATCCCCCTTTTAGGCATATGTTAGTGGCAACCTGTATTTGTCCTTTATGGCATTTATTCCCACTGTAATTTAAGGAATGTTTGTGCGATTATCTGTGTTTGTCTTCCCTTATAAGACTATATCATTTTTATTTTTAAATCCTCACCTGAGTATATGTTTTGTATTTTGAGACAGAGAGAAACATTGATGTATGAGAGAAACATTGATTGGTTGCCTCCCATATGCACCCCAACTGGGGATCGAACCAGTAACCTTTTGGTGTATGTGATGATGCTCCAGCCGACTGAGCCACCTGGCCAGGACCGAGACTATATCTTTCATAGGTGACTCTGTTGGTGGGTTTTCATTGCTTAGCACAGTGCTGGGCACGGAGAAGGCACTCAATAAATGTTTGTCAAACAAAGTCATGAGCATTCTATTGCCTTTTAAATATGCTAATCTCAATATCTTCTTCTGTTTGGTTCTACTACTTGTTCTTGGCTGCCAATTTTCCAGTGCTGATTTATATTTCATCTCCCCGAATTTAAACATGTGACCATGGGGTATTTAGGAACCAATATAGATTCACATAACTTCTTCCTAAACTGCAGAGTACAGTTAGGCTAAGAATGTTGGAGATGGAAAATCTTTTTTTTCTTTATCCTAACCCCATTGATCCTTGGTTTGGTGAGTGGGCTGTCTAGTTGGCCTCTCCTGCTGGCAGTGGTACCTGTCTTCTCAGTGCGGAGGCCCTGGGATTTGATGTGAGTCTTTCTGCCTCTAAAGATTTAGAGGACTGAGGACTTGTCATCATGTGGCCAGTTCTCCAAGTCACCTTATGAAATGTCACATGGCAGTGTTTATATTTTCAGGGTTTATTCATTGGTTTAACAAGGTGGAGGGACTGAAGCTCAGACAGGTGTTTAAAAATCACAAAGTCACTGGGTTTCTTGAGTAAAATAGCTTAGTTTCATGTGATAGTTCTTTTTTCTCACCTAAACGGATTTCCCTATAAATTATTTCCAACTTGTCTATTCAGCCAAACCAATAGCATGCACAAATATCTGTTATCTTTTACTTGGTTCCACTCAATGGACTGCATGTTGATGGATTGAACCCAAGAACTGCAGTGTTGGAAGGTCATTAGGTGTGGGAGCCAGAAGAACTAAAACAGTAAATGGTAAAAAGGGGTTGTCTCTGTAAATGGGGGAGATGGAGTAAGGCAATAGTGGTTTTCATTATAGGACGCTTTGTAGTATTATAGTTTAATGTTTGGCATGTGCATATACTACTTAGATAAACATTTATCTATGTAAACTTATCTATCTACCTATCATCTATCTGACTGAGATAAGGAGTGTTTCAGACTTTGGTGAGGATAGAGAACTCTTCTCTCTGTCCATGTTTGTTAAAAACTTTCCTTGCCCTTCAGGCACACAGTTCCCAGCTGCCGGGGGGAAGATGCTAAAGGGAAGGACCGTTGCTGGTACGAAGCGGCCCTTCATGATGGCAACCCAATTATTGTCTATCTTCACGGCAGTGCAGAACACAGGTCAGTGCCTTTGCTTGGATAGTCATTCATTCACTCACTCACTCACTCACTCACTCACTCACTCACTCATTCAGAGAGAAGAGACAGAGAGCATTTCAGCTCTGTTGGGGAGTGAAAGGCAGGGCTCAGTTTCCCACTCTAAGCATGGCGCCACATATTTTTTTTCTTTGTTGAAATTTGACGGTGTTCTAGCAGTAGGCTTCTATTTAAAAACAAAATCCATATGTTCTATATGTAGAATAATGTGGATCCTTAGCTGAGAGGGACACTAACTTGCAAGATTTAGATATTAATTTCCAGGAACGCAGTGGTTCCTTTATTCCCTCAGAGTGTCTGCAATGACGGATTGACCCCATGGATGATTGGAAAGGGAATAGGCATTGACAGATGGGGGCAGGAAGAGCAGTTTCCACATCAGTGGTCTTTTCACAGAAATACATGAATCCTATTAATCAACAGTATGGACTTCCTGGGAGCGATCACCTGGAATTCTGACCATGGGTACTGAGTTCTGGCCTAGAATATTGATGCCTCAGCTTCCCCTCTGTGGCCCCAACTTTACTTTGTGACAAAGACCGCCTCCTAGAAGCCTGGCTCTCCTTCGATGTGCCGCCAGAGCCATCAGTAGCCTGTAATTGTGGTGGGTGACGCTTATCAGCTGTGACTGGGTCTCCTCAGCTTGGGGGTGGGGCAGTGTGTCTCGCAGACCCACTGACCTGGTTCTGTCTCTGGAGGGACACTTCAAACTAAGTGACAAGGTCTGGAATCTGTCCCTGGGCTCCCTTGCCTAGGTCTCTTTTTCTCACTGTCTTTTTCCGTCAGATGATGGCTTTCTCAAGATTTGGCTTTGCTCAAGGGCTTTCTCGAGGTGTCCATTTTAGAGTCACATTTACAGAGATTGCCTGTGAAGTTAACATTTCCCAACGTGGCTCAACATGGTTCTGATAGTGCGGACTGGCTCATGGTGTTACAGTGCACCTACTTACAGGATCAGGCGGACCCCAATTCCTGTCTGCCCTGCTGGTGCATCTGCTATTGCTTCAGTCATCACAGACGTACTCGCTCAGGGGTCAGCCCCAGCCTCCTCCTGGCCCCTGCCCGCAAGTCTCAGCTTGCCATCAGTAGTACAGAGCTGAAAGGGGGCCAAACGGAGGTTATGGGAGACCTTGATGGAAACAGTGGTTCTAGACTTGGGATCCATAAAAGCCCAAGAAGGGCCATGAACCTCCTCCCAAAACTGTACATTTGAAGTGTAAATACCCTTTTCCCTCTGGGAAATGAGTCCATAGCTTTAACCACATGTTCAAAGGGCTCCATGACCCACTAAAGTTTATGAAACTTGGCTCTAAGAAAAAATTTTAAAGAAGTCTCTGCCTTTTGAGTCAACTTTGTCTCTGTTTCATTCACGTATGGTATGGTTATTCTGGAAACCAATGTTTCTTGTACCTCCAGGGACTTGTGTCTCCTTTGCTTCGTCTGGCACTTGGTGGCGGAGTGGACAGGGACCAGACAGATCTTAGAGTAGTGAACATGACTATATCATCCTTTGTTCTAAAAAAGCCACTTTCTGGAACTTACTTTCCGTTGGCTTCTGAAAGTATTCTTAGAAACAGGTTTTGCTGTGTAGGAGTGTGAGGGGATGGATTTAATGCTTAGTCATCAAATGTATGACAAGGAGCGGAGACCTGGGACCCAGCATTCATGCAGAGGAGCTCGGCAGCGGCGGGGGCCGTCAGTCATCCCCCTGACACATCCGTTCCCCTTTCTCCTTGTTATTTATTTCTCTATCCCAAAGAAGAAAGGTGTGAGATCAGATGCCAGCAGCATGATAGCGACTTTTATTGAATTTGTCTTCCCAATTCCTAAATCTTGCTCTTTTTTTTTTTTTTTAACCTTTTCTACAGGGCAGCTCGTCACAGGCTTAATCTCGTAAAGGTATGTCTGAAGGGGCCCCACGGCACCCACTTTATGTCTCCATGTATTCTTTTCTGGGCTGGGGCCGTAGATCTTCCTCAGCTTTGGCAAGGTTATTGACTGAGAGCTCCCCAGGGTGGGTTTGGTGTCGGGGCCCAAAGTCCCATGAGTGAGTGGACTTTTCTTCCAGCCTTGACCATGGGGGGGTCAAAGTAGACGTGACTATCTCTGAGTCCCAAAACGCTTTCGTGAATGCATTGCCTTCATTAGCAGATGGAGTTGATGACATGTTTGTTTGATTTTTCTGGGGGCTGGGGGATGGATTGAGAGAATATACAGGTGTCCCCCAAAATGTATACACACTTTACAGCTGATAGCTCCCAATGTTTCTTTCTTGTCCGATTTAACCCATTGGAATTAATAATCATTCAAAGTGTGTATACATTTTTGGGACACCCTGTATTAGGTGCGAAAGTCACGCCTACAAGAAACAACCTTTTTGGTGGTACAGGATAGAGACAGAGAATGTCTGTTTTTAAGTCATTCAGGCCCGGGCTTCCGCTCATAAAGGGTTTTGCACAGTGGATGGTGGCCACACTCGACTGTCCTCACTGTTCCATGACTTCCGTTTGAGGGGGCAGCCCCTGCATTTCCAGGGGTGAGGGCGATGGCAGGCTGTGCACTCGCCATCTCTGCCTTCTGACTCAGAGCCGGTCAGGCAGGCTGTTGATCCTCTCCCACACGCCAGTTGGGTAATTTTTGCCGCAGGTGACCAGGCAGCTTGTCCAATTACTGACCACAAGACCTGATCTCTCCTCTCACGTGCCAGCTCCCACCTCCACTCTTTCTCCATTTAACAGTAATTGTGGGGCCCAGAATCCCCAGCCCCTTCTTCATCCTCCCTCCCCCGTTCAGACAGGAAGCTCCTCTCTCCACTGCCTTCTCAGAGCTCCTCTGGAGGAGTGGTGGGCTGGGTACAGTGTTGCCTGGGGTGGTGATGCCTATTAGTTTTTAAGTTTGCTTTCCATCCTGCACCCCTCTCTTTGCACTGCCCACATGGGGTGGTGGTGAAGCTGATGTCTCCTCCCACTCATGGCAGAGCTGAGTAGTAGGTCCCTTGTGTGCACAGAAAGAAGAGTTGGAGGTGTAGTCATCCTTGTGGCAGCAGGGGTGGGTGGGAAGGTATGATAGCACTTCTTCCCCCTGGGCAGATTCTGGATACCACAGCCATAGTCATCATCTCCCGGCCTGACCACACTTCCGGAGCTCTTCGTTTACTTATTTGGATAGGCGATTACTTTGAAATAAAATTGCTACAGAAAACTTTAAGCATTAAGTTTTTCTTCTTTGGTATATTTTTTCCCTAGAGATAGATTCTTAGACTCTGTTGCTGTTATTGTTCTTGAGTTGTATTGTCAAGTGGTCCTTCAACTTACAGTGTCACAAACAATACACAAATATTTCTATTTCCCTGGATGCTTAACTGCCCTGCTTCTTAGATAACTTTTTTTTGGAATGAATGTAGTTTAAATAGGTATTGAAAAGTTACATTTATTTTCTCCTTATCAGTTCTATTTTTTAAAATATATTTTTATTGATTTCAGAGAGGAAGGGAGAGGGGGAGAGAGAGAAAGAAACATCAATGATGAGAGAGAATCATTGACCAGCTGCCTCCTGCACACCCCCTACTGGGGATCGGACCCACAACCCAGGATGTGCCCTTGACTAGAATCAAACCTGGTACCCTTCAGTCCGCAGGCCGATGCTTTATCCATGGAGCCAAACCAATTAGGGCTATCAGTTCTATTTGTATGTAAAAGTTTATCATGAGTTTCAGCCACCCACGTCTATGCCGTGGAGAGGAGGCATGGTGTTTGGACATGTGCAGGCCCAGGTGCGAATCTTGGTTCTGCCTCTAGACATTGGAGTGAGCAAATACGGACGGATTATTTAAGCTCTCCAAGGCCCAGTTTCTTTATCTGTTACATGGGAAAATACCTGCCTTATGTATGGGACTGTTGTGAGGATTTAGTTTTTAAAAAATATATTTTATTGATTTTTTACAGAAAGGGAGAGGAATAGAGAGTTAGAAACATCGATGAGAGAGAAACATCGACCAGCTGCCTCCTGCACCACCACCCTCCCCCCCCCCCACTGGGGATGTGCCCGCAACCAAGATACATGCCCTTGACCGGAATCGAACCTGGGACCCTTCAGTCCGTAGGCCGACGCTCTAGCCACTGAGCCAAACCGGTCAGGGCGGATTTAGTTTTAAAAGTGTCTGTACAGTAAATTTTGTCCTTTTCTCTGTCTTCCCTTTGTCTATCTTTGTAATTCAAAGTTATGTTTTCATATTCTTTCCTCATTTGTCTACATAGGGCCTGGCAGTGGTTTGATATCACCCAATGATCTCTTTATCTTTGATTGATATTAACTCTTTATCTGTTTATCTATAATAATAAAAGGGTAATATGCTAATTAGACCAGATGTCCTTCCAGATGTCATTCCGGATGTCCTTCTGGACGAAGCCAGGGCCAGAGGGAAGCTGCCCAGGTCCCGGGTGCCTACCGGCGGCTAGAGAGGGAGGCTGTGGTCCCGGATGCTGGAGGGAAGCCGGTGCTGGCAGCTGGGGAAAGGAAGGCCTACTCTTGCATGAATTTTCGTGCATCGGGCCTCTAGTATTTAATATAATGATCTCCCCCTTTTTTGATTGCCTCTACTACAATTCTGTGTAGAGTTCTTATTCTCAAGGGAATTCTTAAAAAGGACATTTACTACGTACCAAGATATTTTAATAGGTCATCTTATGTAATCTTCCAACAATCATGAAGGCAGCTACTATTGTTTTTCACATTTCAGAATAATATTTGCATATTTAAATGTTAAGTGGCAAGTAGCCCAAGGTCACAGAGCTGGCTAGTGGCAGAGCCACACTGGGACCCAGGCTGTTGGACCCAGCCCTGCCACACTGCTTTCCTTACTTCCCATTGAGTCTGGCCATCTCAAGATTGAAGCAAAACACCAGATTTCAAAAATAAATCTTTTCCCTATTTATGAAACTGTCACAACTAGGCTTATGGAAGTGTCAAACCTTTTCTGTTTGCATCTTCTAATTGAAGATAACAGCTCCTTTGTCATCTAGGTGCTGAGCGATGGTGGCTTTCACGTCTTGTCTGTTGACTACAGAGGTATGTGTTAAGAACAGTGTACACGGATTTTTCCAGAAGCAGGAGGCCTTCGATGATTCCACTTTGGAGGCGGTGATACTTTGTTTGCCTTTCCTTGCTGCCAGGGTTCGGGGACTCTACGGGTAAGCCCACAGAGGAGGGACTGACTGCGGACGCTATTTGTGTCTATGAGTGGACCAAGGCAAGAAGTGGCACCACCCCCGTGTGCCTCTGGGGCCACTCTCTGGGTACAGGGTAAGTGGGGTCTGCAGATGGGTCTTTAGGTGGGTCCTTGGGGCTCCAGGCAGGAGTGAGCCCTGACAGGAGCAATACTTTAGGGCAGCAGTCGCCAACCTTTCGGACCTCACAGACCACCAGTGGCGACTGCTGATCTAGGGGACAGAGACTCTCTGGCTTCTCTCACTTCCCACATGTGACTGGAGGCCTTGCCCTGTTTGTAAAACATGGGAGCTCTACGGTTATCCGTGACCCTGAAGCCCACTGCAGAACTCTCCTTGAGAGTTTTAAGGAAAAGGATTCTTAATTTAGAGTCAGTGGGACACCTGGAAACCCTGTGCCAAATGTTGTGTCTATGCATTTTCTAACCAGAGCTTCCAGAGCTTTCATCAGATGCTCCCACTGGGTGTCGCATTTTGTATCATTTACTTGACTGTTAAGTCACGGCTTCACATATGTACTAATTTTCATTGCTTTTCAGAGTTGTAACGAATGCTGCGAGAGTACTAGAAGAGAAAGGTACTGTAAAATGATTACGTGGTATAATTTCCTCGCTTGAGATGGGCAACTGAAAAGAGTCGAGACTATTGGGTACACTGCCAACACAGAGATACCTAAAGCACCCCAACTTTAGGCAGTTTCTGATAGTGCAGCAAACGTTCCTTTTTCTCTCTAATATAAAACAATAGCTGTTTTTCAAGATGATGAAATTAAAAATAAATACTAAGGAAAGACTTAAAATTACCTTTGAAAGAGTGCTCATTGTGAAGTGATAATAACTGTTATTATGGAGTCATTTGGATCACAGGAGAGGAAAATAATACATATGGAATAACAGGCAAGGCTTGCTTTCTGCAGCCCTTCTTATATAATATTTATGTCAGCATTTCTAAAAGTGTACTGAGAACTGCCTGTATCAGAATCTCAGGGGATGCTTTTTTTAAAACACAGGTTTCCTGGATCTATTTTCATGATTGGAATCTCTGTGAATAGGACCAGGTGACTTTGACAAGCATTAAAAGCTTGTAATCTCTTGCATCATATCTTAAACTTTACTTGGCAATACAGGTCAGGTGGAGTTATGTAAGCGTTTTAGAGCAAGTCACCTGCTATTCACAAGTTTAATTACGTATGTAAAGAAACTAAGCATTATTTCAATGCTCCTCTAAGCTCTCATGGCTCCCAGTCACTTCCTTCACAGCGTGGACACTGTTACAGTATCTGAACTAAATTCTCACATAAATGAATGCTTCACTTCCTAGATAATGCAGTGACCTTGGGACACTCTGATTCCATTTACCTCCTCAACTTATCAACTCTTGCTATCATGTTTTTTAATTTTCTCTATACACACTCCATAAAATACTATTCTTCTTATATTATAAAAGCCAAGGTTTAGATTTACTTTTCTTTGCTCTTTATTAGTTTCAGCATTTCTCTGTTTTTATCTGGGATTTTTGTTCTGCCTGTCTATTGGTGAAGAATTCTCTCAGTTTTGGTCTGAAGATATTTTTATTGCATCTTCATTTTTGAAGGATATTTTCACTGGGCATAGAATTCTAAGTTGGCAATAATTTTATTCCAACACTTCGTTCAGGGTTTCACTGTTTTATTAGGAAGTCAGCTGCCAGTCTTACTGTTGCTCCTTTGAAGATAATGCTTTTTCCTCTGACTGTTTTTGAGATTTCCTTTTGGTCTTGGCTTTCAAAATCCCACTGATTTAGCAGCCCTCAGGTGCCTTCAAACACACACATACACATGCACATATCCTCATCTGACACACATTTTCTAATTGTTCTCTGGGAAAGTGTTGGCCAAAACCACCTAATCAGCCTCTGGCACATTCTTAACAATGGACTGCTCAACAGTTTTCCTTCCCAGAGTACTTTGCTTTCTAAAATTACCTAAGGCTTGACAGTCTGGTTTTGTTTTAGAAGACGGTACTGGTTTGCAACTACCATGTGCAGGGAAATCTCTTGGTTGGTGGGTGGGGGAGCAGGTTAGAAATGCACGTTCTCACATTTCCACCCCCCCCCTTTCCCCCGAGATTCTGATTTCTGACTCAATAAGTCTGGAGTGGGGTCCAGGAATTTGCATTATTAGTAAGCTTCACAAATGAAGTACAAGACCTTAACTACCCCTTATTTAGGGAAGGTGATATTTAAATATGATAGGGGAGTTATTTCTTTTTTATTTTTTCAAGGATCCCCGGTTGATGCTATTGTTCTGGAAGCTCCATTTACCAACATGTGGACTGCAAGTATCAATTATCCCCTGTTAAAGGTGAGTCTCTTATTCATCTTCACAAGATGTCAAAGTGTTTCCACACATTTATGTTTATTAACCACATTCTTTTTCTTAACCAGTTTTATATGCCTCTAAGTTACTCTGACTTGAGACAGGGTATTAGCCAGTTGCAATTAAAGAAGGGCATGATGGACGGCTTTTGGAGTTGGTAGTCCTCATATTTTCTTCTAATAGATTGAGTAGCTTATTAAAAGCCAAAGTTTTATCTCTTATCCTTTACAATTTTTAATAGATAAGTTAGGTTTATCTATTTATTATTATTATCCTTTTAAAAAGGGAGAACAGAAGTCTCATACATCATTTTTAGTCCTGAGACTGTCAGCCATATCTTTCACAATTTTGTGATAAGACAGCCTCCAGAGAGCCCAAGGAAGCTGCCAAATGATTTTATACAGTATCCCATGTAGAGGATACAGTCTTTCCAAGAAGGTAAGATATAAGGAATTGGGCAACAAGATGTAGTTTTTTAAATCTGTTGTGCAGCTTATCCAAATTTTGTAATTTTATTTCAAGCCCAGTGCTCAATTGCTTATAGTCATACATCCATATAAATGTTAGCAAATGAGTGAGAGGGAGGAAGAAAAGAAGGTGAGGGTGGGGGAGAGAGAGAGAGAAAGAAAATAGGAGAGATTCTCAGAAGGAACACATGGCCCCACAATTTAAGTTGTTGTCTAATATTGGAAGGCAGTGTAGGTGCACTTTTCTCCAGCTGTCTACTTTTGGAATCTTGTGTACAATAAATCATCTTAGAACGTCCTGGAATTTGCTTCACTGTTTCAGAGAAAGGCAGCGCATTACTTCTGGGATAGCTCTTGCACAGAATCACAGAATCTTGAAAATGTCTAAGCTTCAGCTCAATACAGAATCTCCTCTACAACAAGCATGTCAAACTCAAAGGCTCACACGGGCCAAATAAACAAGGTGTAAGTGTACGTGGGCTGCAAAAAAACAAAGCTTCAATTTTCATAGAAACATAGGTTTATTTCCGTAGAGACATGCTGAATACAAAGGGCTGAAATAAATGAGTAATCGTTAACATAAAATAATAGAACATTTTAATAAAAATTAATATTTTTTCTTAAACATTAACTTACCAGACACTGAATAACTGCACAAATTAATAAGCATAATGTAAATAAACCTATTTTTCTTGTTCTCCAAAAGTGAAATATTTCCTGTTGCGCACACCACACAAGTCAGTCCAAGACTAATGACGTGGCCATCGGCTGCTAAAATATTTGCTGCTTGTATTAGTGGAGAGAAATGGTGTGCCTGCGCGTAAGGCGCGTAAGGGAAATGAATGCAACACGATTATAGCAATCAGTCATTAGCGAATGTTGTAGTTCGTTATTAATAATTATGTATAACAGGATATTGTAAAAATTAAGTTACGAAGTTTTTATTAAAATATTTCTTGCATACCATTGTATTGAATGGGCCGCAAAAGTGTATATGGGCCGCGAGTTTGACATGCTTGCTCTACAATCTAAAATACTGAATACTGAGTAACTTAAGATTTAACAAATACAACATTTCAATTGATTCCAGATGACTGAATATTCATCTTAAGATAACCATTACTTGATCATCTATTATATTACTCTAAGTAATTACTAACAAACTCACTAACTTGTAGGTATTTTGCAATTCAGATACAGTCTTCCCACTTACTTTTGTTTCTTTTTTGAAATTTTATAATTTTTAAAGGTTAACATAATAGAGAAAATACATGATATAGCAAATAATTGTAGACTGAACACCTGAGTCAAAATGTAACAACTTTGCCCTAGCTGGGGTGGCTCAGTTGGTTGGAGCGTCGTCGATTCCCCATCAGGGCACATGCTCAGGTTTCCAGTTCCATCCCAATCGGGGCACATTGAGGAGGCAACAGATCGATGTTTCTCTCTCACATTGATGTTTCCCTCTCCCTCCCTTCTTCTCTCTAAAAATCAATAAAAAAATTACCCAACACGCAAGTCAAGAAATCAGCGTCACTAGAAGTTTCACCTGTATGTTACTTTCTAATCTAATAAACCCCATTTTAGCTGTAATCCTTAGCCTGAACTTTACGGCGATCACATCCACCATTTTCCGTCCTATGAGTGACAGCCACGGATTTTTTCTTTATAGTGTTACCACCTGGGTGTGCATCGCTAAGCAGTATAGCATGGTTTGTTTTTAAACTTTACATATTTTACAAGTATTCTGTTTTTCACCCAACATGTATTAGTAGGATTTTATCCATGAAGTATAGCTGTAATTTGATCATTGTCATTGTTATGTAGTATTCATTTTATATAGTACAATTTATTGATCTAGTGTTTGTAGACATCTGAGTTGCTTTTTATGTGGGATAATTAATAACATCATTGTTGTAAGTATTCTTGAACATGTATTCTCTAAACTTGTGTGCATATTTCAATGGAGTATACATTGGGAGTGGAATTGCTGGGTAACAAGGAATGCATATGCTCAGCTTTAGTAGTTATAGTGCCAAGCAGCTTTCCAAGGTGACTTTGCCATTTTACTCTCCACTTATCATACACGAGAGTTCAATTGCGTCATATCCTTGCCCTCATACTGATATCTCATTGTGGTTTTCATTTGCATTTGATGACTAATGAAGCCAGGCATTTTTCCATATGTTTATTAGCCACTTAAATATCATCTCTTGTGATATACTTGTTCATGTGTTTTGCTCCTTTTTAAATTGAGTTGTCTTTTCATTTGTAGAAGTTCTTCATAGGGTAAGTCATTAAAATTATTTGTTTTTCAAATATATTCTATTTTTTGCTTTAAAAAATATTTGTTTTGCTTTATTACTCCCTCAATGGCATCTCTTAATGAAGAGATGTTCCTGTATTTCATGTGAACCAGTTTACCAACATTTTCTAATGGTTAATACTTTTTGAATAAAAGTGTCCTGCTTGATAAAACTCTGCTTACCCAAAGTTATGAAGATACGCTTCTGTGCTATCTTCTTGAAATTGTTATGTCTTTTACATTTAGAGCCCTATCCCAGGTATGTATTTTTGCATATGTAGGATGTATAAGTCCTTACAGCTTTCCAGTTGGCCCAGTGCCATTCACTAAATGGACCTTCCCCATCACTCTGCAGTGCCAATGTCTGTATATGCCAGTATCTCTCTCTACATATATGTATACACGGGTCTGTTGGAGATTCTCATCTCTCTCCCATGTCTATTGTCCATGCTCATATGAATACTACAATCTCTTAGTGACTTTAGCTTTATAATATGTCTTGCTATCTAGTGAACTTCTTCAGCTTTGTTCCTCTTATTCAAGATCATTTTGACCTCTTGCATTTCCACATATATTTTGGAATATACTTGTCAATTTCTCAAAATTAAGTTAATTATTGTATTATTTTCCATACCAACAACAGTAAACCTACTTTTGCCTAACCCTGTATACTCTGTATGATTTTAACTTTTGAAATCTGCTCAGAGTTGCTTTATGTCCCAACAAATGATCGATTTTGGTAAATGTTCCATATACTTACAAAGAATGTGTTCTGTTGTTTGGGGTACGCTGTTCTAACGTGTCAATTAGACTATTAATTGTGTCATTTGATTCTTCTATATCCTTACTGATTTTTTTGACTATTTGTTTTATCAGTTGCTCAAGGAAGAATATTAAAATATCTCACCATTATTTTGGAGTTGTTTATTTCTATTTTAGTTCTATCAATTTTTGCTTTAGTTTTTTTTTGAGGTTATATTATTAGGAACATACATCTAATAATGTAATTTTATATCTTTCATGTGAGTTTATCCTTTCATGTATCTGGTATTTTAAGAATATCTGTCTGGTGGTATTCCAGAACAGAGAGGAGGCAGGGAGACCCAATTAGGAACCCACGGCTGTGCTCTGGGCTGGAGGGGATACTATGACCTCTGAGTCTCAGAGGGCACCTGGGCTGGGAGGAGTGAGGAATAACAAAGTAGATTATTGGCTTGGACCAGCTTTCTTCTCACTCCTTTGGAATTTGAGATGAATTGCTGAAGGGCTTCTTTTATTGAATTTCCCTCAGAGGAGTCCTGATTCCAGGGGTGGTGGAATCAGAAGACAAAGAAAAACGTAAACAAAACTAGTTATATGTATTGTGTACATATAACTATTGTGTACATATAACAGGATTTTTTGACTAATCAGAATATTCTGTTCCCCAACTAAACCAATTAGTTATATTCACTGTAGAAGCAATCTTTGGATTATATCACTGCTCCTTTCAGAATATGAAGAAATAAGTTAATAGTGCTGTTTGTATTTTAAAGAGAGGACAGTGATGGTCTATGGATGGTGGGATTATGTGTGATTTGTTTCTTCTGTTTCCTTTTGTATTTTCCAAATTCCCTACAATGATATGAATTACTTTTACAATCATAAAAATTTTGCTTTTTTCAAGTTTATTATATTTAGAAAGTTACTCTCTATTACTATCGTTCATGCTGGAAAACTACAACAAATTATATAGCTGCAGGCAGTTTTAATTGTTTTTTCCTTTTAAAAAATAGATTTACCAGAAACTTCCAGGATTTTTACAAACACTTATGGATGCTTTGAGAAAAGACAAAATAGTCTTCCCTAATGATGAAAAGTAAGCTAATGATTAAAAATGTCCATTGTTCTATTACTATGCCTGTAGGATTCTTAGGGGAGGGGGGTGGTGACTATCATGTGACTTATTGGGTGGGTAGATGAGAAGTCTGAAAGACTAGATGAGAATTGTAGGTGGGCACTAGGATTTAGGGTAATGTATCTACAAGTTTTTAGTATTTGGCATTTTCCTTATGACTAATTGGATGACTTTACAGATTCAATATTTTCTCTGAAGTCATAAAGGGAGCTGTAGGTTTAGGGATCCCTGACATTAGGCCTTATTCCGCACGTAACTAAAACCTATCTGCTATCCAGCCTACTAACCCGACAGCAAAACCAATGAATAGAATTTGGCAAGTTGCCCTCTTATAGTAGGAGAATCTGAGCACCTGCAAATACATAGTTGTTATCAATATTTCCATATTTCAACACACTTCAGGGATCTAATCTTCTCAGGAGTAACAGCAAGTCACCGTGGCAGGGATGGATGGGTATCGGAAGGGGGTGGGGGAGGGAGGGAAGTATTGTTTGAGAATGCCATTGGAGTCAGGAATGAACATTCTTCATGCCACAGCCTTTTTGAAAGGCTTCCTCCAGAGTAGGAATTTGACCAGGAAGCTAATCAAACCCATTAATTACATGTTCACCCTGTACATTTATGGGGGAAAGTAAATTGCCACAAAGAGTTATATTTTGTCCTGTGGAAGTTCTTGTTATTTTAGGGTTTTTCTTTTTCTTTTAGAGTCTTTTATTTTTTTAAAAAAGTTTTTATTGATTTTTTAGAGAGAGAAGGGAAGAGAGAGGGAGAGAGAGAAACATCAATTGGTTGTCTCAATGTATGAATCCTGACTGGGGATCGAACTTGAAACTTGGGTATGTGCCTTGATTGGGAATGAAGCAGGTGCCCTTTTGGTGCATGGGATGAGCCATACTGGCCGGGGCTCTTTTAATTATAATATTCCAAGTATTATGATATTAGGTGGAGTAAGGAAAAAGATAAGGTTCTTCTAATTCTGTACAAATTCAAGACTTCAGTGTTCATTATTTTAAAAGAAAATCACATGGAAGTAGATTAAATTAATTAGATACCTAATTAAACTACATGAGTGCATAGGAGAAAGAGAGTATTACCCAGAAGAAAAATAAGTTACTGTGTGAAGTTTGTTATATATGAAGTTGTTATGCCTGGGAGGGAAGGAAAGAGAGTTCTTGTATTTTGGGCAAACCTCATGTTTTGGTAAAGCTTTAACTTGGAGGAGGAGGAGAAATCCCAGCGTTAATTCTTGAACTGAATGCTTTTCTTCTACCTGTTCCTAGTGTAAAATTCCTGTCTTCCCCCCTCCTCATCCTTCACGGCGAGGATGACAGAACAGTGCCTTTGGCAAATGGAAAACAGGTAAACCATGAACAGAGTCCTGACTGAGGACATACTGTTCTTATTTCACCATCTTCTCTTCCAGTCAAACTTTGATGAGAGCCCAAAGGAGGGTCTCTGACATTCTAAGGGATTCCCTACACCCCTAATAGCCATGCTGCCTGGTGTATACAGTAAGCATCCATGCTAATCAGCTCCAAGGAGCATTTGTGGCGGACCCTGGCTCCTCATTTGGGGTCTGTGAACCGGGAAGTGTTGTGGGGACCCAGGATACTATAGGAACTGCTGTATCTTTCCTGTAGTGGCTCTAAAAATGGGGAGGCAGTTTCTTTTCTTTTAACCAAACAAAGTGTGTCCATCACAATCCCTTGTCCCCTTGCAGGGAGGTATGGACAGTGGAAGGATGTCCTGTCAGCATTCTCTATTAGTCATGCAGCTTTCAGTCCTTTAGCTGTAGAGGCAGTCAGTTGGGAATGTGGAGAGTCTCCATGTCTCTGACCTAATGGGACTAACTCCTCAAGCTGGCTGTTTCTGTACCGCTGTAAGACAATCAGCCTAGAAAAACAACAGCACTGATGGTCAGCCTTTGAGTCTCTGTGTTTCTGTGCCCTTGCAGCTCTATGAAATTGCACACAATGCATACAGGAACAAAGACAGGGTGAAGATGGTGATCTTTCCTCCTGGCTTCCAACACAACCTGCTTTGTAGAAGCCCCACACTGTTAAAAACCGTGAGGTAAGAGTAGCTTTGCTAAATGTGATTTTCCTCCCTTAAAGGCTGCTGTGGCTTATGTGGACTGCGAGGTGGGGAAAGCATGTGATTTGACCTGGGTCCTTTTTCTGCAGAGATTTCCTGTGCCAGCAGTGGGCATGAGGTCTGAGAGCAGCAGAAACCTCCAGCAAAGACTTGGTCCGAACACCACCTGTGATGTGTATTTTTTTGTGTACAATTGTACTGGGATGCTTGGGTGAGCTAAAGTCATTGGCATGTCTGCAAGCCACTTGCCAGCTACAAGCATGGGTGCTGGGTGGTACGGGATGCTCTCATTTAGTTCATGGAACATGCTGAGACATCACTGTGGAGAATCAGAATTTGGTAAAAACTGGATCCCATATAAAAATGTGCAGTTGCCAAACACCCTGGGCTATTTGTGAATCAGGTGTAGTCTTTGGTTTGGACTTAGATAGCAGTGTAAGAAAGGTGCTCCAATGTAGTTAAATAATTTGTGTTTTAGTTCATTTAAATGGCATTAAAACGTTCCACGCATTTTTTTTCTAGGGGAAGGTCCTAACATGCTACTCAATTTGTTGTAAAATAATACGTTTTGAGACTCAGGTAGCTCTGGAAATTCATACTTTATTTTTAGCTCCAATACAGTTATACACTTTCCTCGCCCAATCTCCAGAGATACTTAACTGGATTGTTAGCTAACAAAACAAAACAAAATCAAAGAATGTTGCAAAAAGGTTCAAGTCCAATAAGAAACTATTTTTTTTCTAGAGACATTTTACAACTTACTTTCCACTGGCCTTGTACACCCCATTGCTAGATTCATTGGATAGGGAAATCTTTAGATCTGAAGGCTCCATGTTCCAGATGTCCTTGGCATATTCCTTAATTGTGCGGTCACTGGAGAATTTCCCCGAGGCAGCTATATTTTTGAGTACCATCGCGTTCCAGGCCTTTGGATTCTGTAAACAACACAGATATATACGGCCAAGGGCCTGAGTGCCCATCGAGCTTTAGGACAAACATCAGGCAAGCATATCGAAGCACATTTCACGGAGAAGACGATGGGAGTAAATTGTAGTGAATTATAAATACATACGCTTCACAGTTGAGAGCTAAATAGGGCAGACTGAGCCCTTCTCCTATTTAGAGTATATATTTCCCTTAAGAATGAAAAATACGTATTTTTCATTTTCAGGGAAACCAGGGATGCAAATTACCTAATCGATAATTTTTGCTATAGTTACGATGTTTTTGCATGGAAATCATATTTTCCATGCTTTGTTTCAAATGAGGATACCTTCCTTTAAACGACAGGTGAAAGGAACACTAATATTCACTGTCTGCTAGAAACCAAGTCAAGAGATTTAACCTGTGGCTCACAAAGTTTGGAAAACACTATGCTAGAATGCTAACGATCCACTGAGAGACTTTATTGACCTACTTTTCTTGTTTTTTTCTGAAGGTAGATGTCCCAGTAGGTTTATACTGAATCCCGTTGGGATTTCAAAACATGATTAATTAAGGGTTTATCCTTAATAAAATATGTAACATCCAAATCTCATACTTTTTATACCAATAAGAATATAAGAAAGTATTTAATAACCTCATGATTTTGTAAAGAACTCTAACAGTTCATTGTTAATTACCAGAACATTATTTAAAACCAATAGCAATGCATTATAAGGATTAAAAAAAATTTAAAAACTACCATCATTCCTTAAGGTACTGTGGAGAAGAGTCTGAAATTAGTTTGTTCAGACTCTGGAAACTTATTAAAATAAAAGAATAAAAGCCTCATCTCTTCACTTTCTTTGTATTGTTGAGGCTTAGAAAACAAACTCACATGGATGGGAAGTCTCGTCATTAAGCCTCAACAATACAATTATTGTTAAGAGTAAAAAATGCAATTTGCACTAATGAACAAGAAAGCCTGACCCAAATACTTGGCTTCTAGATGAGCATCCTTTGGATGGGGGCCATCATTTTAACAGAAGAGGCCCATTGTGCAAGTTCGACATTCACGTTTGTGCTTGCCCTTGGCCAGATTTTCCTTTCTTGTTCTGTTTTATTTTTATTTCTTCCCCCTGCAGCCTTTCTACAGACAAGCATGGGTTGCAATCAAGAGGAAAGAGGGAGGGGTGGCCATTTTCCTTTCTCTGTCTTTGAGGCTGCTCTCTCCAGTGTTCAGGAAGCAGGGAGTAGGCCACTGAGCTTAACTCAAGTACTGCCCCTCCTTGCTTATGGCCATGAACTGGAATGTACTCTGGTCTGTACACTTTTGGGGAACTGGATAGGACTCTACCAGAAGCTAAGGGCTGTGAAGCAGCAGGAGCCTTGAATGCCGACTTTAAAACCCAGTGGGACACTCAGGATGACTGGAGGAACCACCCTGTTACCCGCTTTGGGAAAGGAATGGAAAGAAATGTTAGTGAAATATGTTTCTGTTGGGAGTAGTTACGGATGAATACAAAGGCAGGAGGTGGTGACTTTATGGCACTTCATTCATCTGCTGCACAATGGTTTTCAAGTTGGAGGGCAACAATAAAGACTGAGGGGGCAAGGGCCACCAGAAGGCTCAAGGACACAGACCCCAAGAGACCCATCCTGGAGACTTGGCCGAGAGCCAGCCTCTTTCGGTATCTGTTCTTCTGTGGTGTCTGCAATTCACTAAAAGTCTATTGTATCAGAGATGATGAACCTTTCCTTGTGTCCACAAATGAACCCAGAGGGCTGGGCTGCTTGATAAAGATGTGCATGGCTCTGGCCTTTCCTTTCCTTCCTTTCTCCTCCTCCCACCCACCTTTTTTTTTTTTAAGTACAGTCTTTCTTGTTCCTTTCCTTTCTTAAAAAAAGTCAAACATAAAACCTTCAATTTCTTTGCAATTTTCAAGGAAAAAGGGGGTCAGTCTTTATCCCAATAAACTAAAGCTCAGCATTAGAATCATTTAAGCAGGTTTTTCAAATACTGATGGTGATCCCACCCACTACTGGGTCAGATTCTCTCCCAGGGAGACTGGCATCTGTACTTTACCAAGCTGCCTTGGTGATTCTGATGTGCACTAAACAGGCTCCTGGAAGGGGGTGGCAAGAAGAGGGTGATTTTGTCCGTGCCCAGCACAGTGCCTGCCATGGGAAGGCCCCCATGCCTCTCTGTTGAACAAGTGAGTGGGTAAAACGAGTATTCAATTTGGCTTGATACTTTTAGTTTCTAGGACATGCCTGCTACATGGTGGGTGCTCAATAAATATCAAATAATTTGTGATTTTTTTACTTGGACATTAAAACATTTACAACTGCTATGGAAATGTCGAGTCAACCTCTGCCTAAACATGGGAAAAGTCGAGTTTTGATCTGAACAACCTAACCTAGACAGTTGTCTCACTTCCCTTTTTTGATTTGTCAGTGGGGCCCTATTATTTAAACTTAATAAAAAGAAACAGAATTTTAAATTAACCATAGTAAGCTGGTTTACTTTATACGTCTCAGCTGTGTACTCACCATGTACAGCTGGCTGACTTTTTCTTGACACTTGACATATGCTTCATAGTCTGCAAACACTTTAAACCTGTGTTGTTGTTTTTTGTGTGATTGGGAGGAAAAATCAAAACAACAAAAAGCTTCATTAATAGATGTGTTAAGATTCCATTTAAAATTCTCTTTTGTTTCATGGCCGCTTTACCGAACTCACATTTCCATTCACAAGAACTTTAAACAGCCCTCAGCCTTTCTACGGACCTCCCCACAGGGAAAAATGTCATCATACAGATGCATCTGAAAGCTGTGTCCACCAGTGGAAGGAGAAAAAGAACACCAGGTTTGTGGGTCTTATCCTTAAAGCTTCCTAGCATTGCCAGTGGAGAATCTTTAATTTTTCTTTCCAAGCCTAGGTTAGCTTGTCAGATCACAGATCTATGCTAATCTACATAGTTGGGTTATAGTTGATTTATGATGTTCTTGCTCCCTTGTCATGGCTGAAATAACACCACCTTCTTGGGGGCACTCACCTGTCATGATAAAATAGCATGTTGATTACATCTTTGAAGAGGTCAGGCTGCTTGGGAGAATAGAAGCCATTGTTAATTTGATCAATGGCCAGCTTCAGCTCTGGAAGTGCCTCGTAATATTCTTTTGCGTTGTATCTGTGGGGTGGGGGTGAGGTAAGAAGAAAGTTCTGTTAGTGTTTGTGATTAGCAATACACTAGACACCACATTAGCTGTGAAAAATGCATTCAGAAATACTAAATTTTATAAACTCATTATAAAGTTCAATATGGGTATCAATAATATTTGACTAGATTCCGACATTTCTCCCTCCCCCCTCCACACTTAACGTTGATTAGTTCCTTGTAAATGAAGACACTGACAGATTTTAAAAAAAATTCTAGTCCCAGAGCAATAGTCTAGTCTAGAAGACAGTAAGGTTCATTTCAAAGCAGACTTTATGGCTCTAAACAAGCATCATGTTAAGTTAACCAGCTGCTTTTGGACCCACAGATCCTCAGATTTGTTGCTACTAAGTTAAAATTTACTTCCCAGGGTCAGGAAGTATACCCGACAACCCCCAAATGCTGTGATCCCTGTCGTTCCTTTGGGCAGCACTTTTTATTTTTTTATCCAGGTTAATAAACCTGGTGAATAAATCTATCCATATTCTAAGAGAAACTATTCCTGGGTGCTTCTGTACACCCTTACCTACCCTCTCCTACATTTTAGTCCATCTGTTTGCAGTCTTAAAGGAGCAATCTTAAATCATAGGCAAAAACTGGTTCATCTTTTGATCAAGTTAAAAATCACAGGATGCAGAGAAGTGACCAGCTCATCAGGCCCGCTCTGCAATGGCTGATACTGAAGAGCAACAACCCTATGCACCTGGGCCCAAGGTCCTTTAACTTTAACTTGCTGGAGTTCATTAAACCAGTGGTTCTCAACCTTGGCTGCACATTAGAATCACCTGGGTATCTTTTTAAAATCCTGATTTCTGGGCCTCATCCTCTGGACATTCTGTTTCTTTGTTACTAATGATGAGGCCCAGAAATCAGGATTTTAAAAAGATACCCAGGTGATTCTAATGTGCAGCTAAGGTTGAGAACCACTGCATTAGACTAATCCATGGCCAGGAGGCTCCTCTGACTCTTGGGAGATGTCTGCTGCCACATTTCCTGTGGCTCAGCCTGAGTGGGATACCTGGGTGGGCAGGCACCCTCGTGGAAGAGCTGTTCTCTCACCCTTTCTTATCCAAAGCAGCTACATCGTCTATCCTCATGCCAAAGATGAACAGGTTCTCTTCCCCGGCTTCCTCTGCCATTTCCACGTTGGCCCCATCCATGGTCCCGATGGTCAGGGCCCCATTCAGCATGAACTTCATATTGCCTGTCCCTGAGGCTTCAGTGCCTGCGGTGGAAATCTGCTCCGACAGATCTGTGGCTGGGATGACTGCAAGACAGGCATGTTAAAATGAGTGATTATGACTCTAGATCTGCTTCTATTTCATCTAAGAATTTATGTAGCTGGCCTGCTTTGATCACTAAAGTAGTACATGTCATCAAGATAAACATTCAAATGGTGAAGGACAGATCTCACTCTTCCCCAGGGCTCAGACAACCACTTTTGTCTTTTTTTTTTAATTGATTTCTGAGAGGAAAGGGGAGGGAGGGAGACAGAAACATCAATGATGAGAGAGAATCATTGATCGGCTGTCTCCTGCACACCCCACACTGGGGACAGAGCCTGCAATCCGGGCATATGCCCTGAACGGGAATCAAACTGTAACCTCCTGGTTCATAGGGATGCGAGAGTCACCAGCTGGGCCACTTTTGTCCATTTTTGATGTGCTATCTTGGTGGTTATGGCCACAGTGCTAAATATATGCTTATCCTACTCTTCCTTGGTCCATAAACTTCAAACAGCATTTACTGACTCTCTGCTATGAAAGTTGACCCATTTCTCTTCTCCCTTCCAAATTTTGTCATGGTTTTATTTTTATTTCTTCTTCTTTACAATTTTAATATATTGGAACTTTTCTTTCTAGATCCTTAAAATTCAGAGTCTCTCCTGACCCTTCTTTTGCAATCCGAGGAAACAGGATTGTTTGTATTCCTTCCACTTCTCCTCACCCTTCTTCAACTTTCACTGCAAGGAAATGAGCCACATGCAACTGAGGTGTGTCTAGGGCCAGACACCAAGCCTCCGAGCTTTCATCCTGATTTACATAAATTAGTGCAGCCTGCAGTCCTGCCCCCTTCTCTACAAAGGTCAGGACTGACTCTCTGCTTTAGTTTCAGAGCTTATTTGTGGATTAGGTATATGTTCATTTGCATCCCTAGGAACCTGGCTCCTTTTCCTTTGTGCAGACAGTTCTTAAACAGTAACAGCAGAGGACCCACAAACACCTCAAAAAGAGAAAGATCCCTTTTCAATGCAGGAAACAGGTCAATACACAGTTGGCATTTGAATGTGGATGGCGCTTTGTATGTGATGCAAATAGCAAAGGTCCCAGTGGTAGAGAAAGGGATGTTGGCTTCTAGCCAGTCTGATTGTCCCCACATGGAAACTCAACGCTTGATCTCTGAGGGCCCATCTGAGGCACAGCTAAGCCTCGTGCTCTGGCAGCCTGACGTCTGTCCTCATTCCCTGTTGCCACATGAACAAACGAAGTGACCAGAGGATTATCTGGGGGCTGGGGAGTTGGTATCCTATTGCAAAACTGGGGCTGGGAACTGAAGATCTCTTTCTTTTGTAGAGCACAGTCTGCACTTTATCAAAACCTCAGGGCTGCTTCCTCTAGCCCCCAGCTCTGACTAGCTGGGAGGAAAATGCACTTGCAAATGTATACCGTGATAGTGTGACATGTACACTGTGATATTGACTCTGGGGACAGCAATCTCATTGTCAGTTGGGTCATCTTAAAAGCTCTTAGCTTAGGCTCTTACTCTGCCCGGTGACACCTTCTATCCCCAGCTCCTGGCTCCCTGAGCTCAGCTGCCCCATTTTTCCATATCTTGTCATCTCTTCCTAGCATTTGCCCTGGCCTCACATGGTTTGCAATGAGGGCACTACCTTTTTCAGCAAGAGACACTCTGTAGTTCTCCAAGAAGATGACTTTCAACTTGTTTCCAACCATGGGGTCATTGTTCACCACATCTGCCACGGAAGTGATGAGCTTTATGATCATTTTGGCCATGTGGTATCCCGGGGCAGCCTTGGGGAAGAATGTGGAACACACTGACAGAATGCAGCCACGAGGAAGTGGAGAAATGGCAAGAGATTAGCGCCCCCACGTCCCCAGTGAACAAAATCAACTTACTTTGCCACCAATTATAACTGTTCTGGGCACGAACAACTTCTTAGGGTCTTTCTTAATGCCTGAAAAAGATGGAGAAGTGGATGGAGCACGGGATGGATGATGGCCGGGTGGCGAGGCCCGCGCAGGGTGCTGCTTCCGCCCCGGGGCACCTGGTGGCTACTGGGCCGACTCACGGTTGTACATGGTGATTACGTGCAGGCAGTTCAGGAGCTGCCGCTTGTACTCGTGGATCCTCTTCACGTGCACGTCAAACATGGAGGCTGGGTTGATCTTCACTTTGTACTCCTTCTCCAGGAACTGGGAAAACTTCAGCTTGTTCTCCTGTTGAGACAGTGCCCGGGCAGGAGGAGTCCTTTAATGGGGAAGCATCAGGTCCCTCTTTAAAAACTGGATCATAAGCCCGCAAAGCACGTGCCGGGCAGGAGCCCACACCGCGTCTCACCTGCTTCACGTTGGAAATCTCGCGGAGGAAGACGTCGTCCCCCAGGAAGCCATGCAGCTTCGTCAGCTGGCTCAGGTCTTTCACGTAGTCTTCCCCGATTTTCTTTCAGTTTAAAGGAAGAGGCGGCTTTAATCAGGGTTGGCAATCAGGCCCAAGTGAGCAGCTAATGTCCCTGTGGTGCGTGCTCACTCAGCTACCACGGGACAGCTCACCTACCACACAAGACGCAGAAGAGGCTAGGACTGCTGTGTGGGAAGGACACTTGGCAGGAATCTTAAATGTCGTCTCAGGGGTATTGCGTTAAAAACTGGGAATCTACCTGAAGAGGCTGGCAAAGGACCCAGGTTCCACTAGTTATTTATATGGCCTTGGTTATCCTCTTTTACTAAATAGCGTTACCAACTTCCATCTGTGTGTCCTATGAATACTGTTAGCCAGGACCAGGTACAGAATGGGTCGGGGCCCTTGATCAAAATTGAGACTTTCAAGGTGACGGCAGCAGAGAATGAAGTCAAGCACAGAGCCTCATGGGACTGCACAGGCCACCTGCTGATGAAGCCGGCCCTGCTACAGACTGTATTTGCAAATTGTAAGTGCACTCATGCCTCTTGCATTCCAGTCGGATCTCCCTCCCTCTCTCCCTCTCCCTCTCAGCACTTCCCAGTTACCTCTGCAATTAACTCTGCAAGCCCCGGGTTGCAGAGTAAG